TTCATTCCACGTAGCATGTAAGGTGCGACCTGACTTTTTTTGGGGAAAAGCTTTATGTAATTTTGCTGTTTATAGAACCCTACCTGGAGGGATAGTCACCAAGGTGTTCACAGTGTTGTCCCTAGGTCGCGGCAATATGGGCGATTTTTTTGGTCACCGTTTGCTTTCTAATTTTTCTGCAGTGTGTTGTGTAATGAGAGACCTCAGCGCCGGCGGGCCGGCAGCTACATGGGTTATCCACACGCACCACCTTGATTCTCTGTCTTCCCACCACACTTCAGTGTTTTAGGTTTGTAGCCAATGTAAGACCAGCCCTGGTGCTGCTGACTTCCCTGCATTTCCTTGTCCCATTTCCAGATGAAATCCTGTACTTAAGTTTTGCTTTGTGTTGACACTGATTTTTTTTTCCCCCTAACCTAGAGCCAAGTCAACTTTTCTTAGTTCGGAATCCATGAAGCACTCGCGAGAGACGCCTTCTGAGAGCGAAAGTGGTTCGGAACTGGAGCAATTATTGATGACATTTCTCTCAGGCAAAAGTGCTCACTGCAAAATGGATTTTTGGAGGCTTGCAACGTAAGGATGATTTCCTTGACCTGGCAGGTAACGCTCTGCAAGGTGCGGGTCCCCGTCCTGCTCGGGAGCCCTAGGTTGGGTTAGGGTTGGGGGCGTGGGCCCCTGCTAGTCCAGCCCACACACAGGCGGGTCTGGGCAGTGTCTGGTTTCCAAGCACACGCATGGTTGCTCGCACGTTGGCTGTGGCCAGCCGGCTGTGGGCACTGCGAGGGAGAGCCGGGACCATCAGTCATTAATCTTGACCGATTGGAAGCAGATGTGGTTTAGCTGCACTGAAACGTGGATCGTCCAGGAGACCTTCCAGGCAGTTTTGGGGAAATGGGGGAGGCATTCAGGGACTGTAAGTAACCCCTCTCGAGGAGTGAAAGGGCCAGGGCAGATGCCTGGCTCACGTGAGGCGGGAAGTTGAGAGGGAGATTTTACGCAACTCGAGTTCTTAAGAGAGTTCTCCGTCTCCTCAGTCCGTCCTGACCCTGGTCATTGTTCAGAGTCCAGCTGAAACGTCACCACCTCTCTGACTCACCCGGGAGGATGGTGCAGCCCCCGTGCCTTGCCCAAGCCTCTGTCCAGTGCCCTGCGCACATCCTGACTTAGCTGTGGCTAAGAGGCCTGGCTCCTCAGTAGGATGTGGTGCCCTCGGGGGGGGGAAGGACTGAGGCATCTCCGGATTCCTGGCACCACCAGGCTTGGTGTAGAGCGGGCTCAGTGCACACTTGCTGCTTGAACGTTGAATGAAAGGAGAGGGACCCAAATAAAACGGCCTCATCGATACGCTCGCTCCTGAAGAATCAAGACGAAGACTGTCGTCTGGAGAGGTTACTAGTAAGAAGTCTGACTTCTTTGAACTGCTCTTGTGCTGAAAACCTTGGCCAACGACTTCTTGCCTGGCCTGCCGGGGCCACAGTGCGGTTCGCAGGGGCAGGGATGCGCTCAGCACCGGGCGGAGGCCAACCGAGTGAGCGCCAGGCGTGCGCTCGGGGCCAGCTCCGCCCTGGCTGTGTGGTCTCGAGAAGTCTCTTAGCCTCTCTGGACTCCACTTTCTTACCTGTAAAGTGAGCTTCAGGGTGAGGCTGCGTGTCCTGCAGGGTGGCTGAGGGAATTGCTGAGAAGCAAGAATACTTAGTAACCTGCAGAGCACCACAGAAGCAGTTGCCTTGCATCTGGCCAGACTTTTTCTAATGTTGTCCTAGGTGAAGTGCCCTGAAACGCCAAGACCATCATCTGGAGAGTCACATGCAGTCCCCGGAGGGCCCTGGAGGAGCCCGGAAAGCCACCCCGTGAGTATCGTTTCTTCCACTGATTGGGTTTCCTCCAGGGCCAGGATGGGGTCTGCCAGCCGTGTTTGACCCAGAGCCCGGTGTGGCTGCGGGACTGGGAATGCGCGGGAAGGAGATGGTCCATCACTCAACACCGTCTACCTTTTACCAACAGCCGTTGTCTCAGACTCCATCCTTTGGCTGTTCTGGAAAATTGTGACTTGGGCAAACAAGTGTGAGTAAACCTTAGAGAGCTAAAATTGGCAAAGGTTTTTCCCCTTTAAAACGTTGTGAGTATATTCTGATTTCTACGAAGGTGTCTGCACCGGCACTCGCCTGGCGTGCTGTGAGAGCAGGAAGGTACTTTGATGGTAACCAAGGTCACAGTCACCTGTGGTGTTGGGTTTGAGCTGGTTACCAGCATGCATTCCGGGTTTAGCTGTGTTTGTCTCCGTTTCCGAGTTGTGCATTCCTTCTTTTGAGCGTGATTCATTGTTATGTTTTTTGTTTTTGTTTTTTAATATATTTATTTCAGAGAGAGGAAGGGAGAGGGAGAGAGGTGAAACATCAATGATCAGAGAGTCATTGATCGGCTGCTTCTTGCACGGCCCCTGCTGGGGATGGAGCCCGCAGCCCAGGCCTGTGCCCTGACCGGGAATCGAACCCCTATCTCCTGGATCCCAGGTTGATGCTCAGCCGCTGAGCCAGGCCGGCGGGCCATGCTCTGGTTATTGAGATGAATGCTATGGTAGTTTGTTTCTTTTGGTCAAAATCCAGAGCAGATTCCCTTCCAGAGGGGAGACGTAAAGTCTTCCACTCGGCTGGGGATTCAGTCTCCCCGAGGGCTTTCTCTTTGTCACTCGCCACCTGAGTTCAGTGGTCACT